CGTGAAAAACTTTCGTTGGACGAATTTTCTTGTAAACTTCATATTTACTGAGATATCGCACTTTGACGCACTAATGAGCAACCCTGTATATTGCAGTTCGATTTCAGTTTTTTTATTGTGAGATATTTTATGGAAAGTGCCAATTAACAAGCAAATATTTTCAAAGACAAGTTTTACAATCCAAGTCGTTTGGATGATCGTCGTATACAAAAAAGGTTTCTCACCCTAACGTAAACAAATCATTTTTCATTTCAATCAGTAAACATTTAACTTTCTATACTAAATTAATTGCTGGTTCTTTAAATCGATTTTTCTGGAAATTATATATTAGATAGATTAGATATTCAAGACAAACCATAATTTATGAATGCTTTCTCGCATAATTATGCGCCTTGATTTTGACAAGAGTCTTTTGCTCAATCTCTCGAAAATTTTTAATTTCTTAAATTAACATTCTCCCTATAACATAGAACAGCATGCAGAATTTATTAGGAAAAGGCAAATTATCGCCTAAATTATAATGTTTTGGTAAACAGTAATAAAGAACATAATAATAATAAGTACGCGGTTAGTGCTTAATTTAACAAAGGCAAAATCCGATTTTGGCAGAAATATCTATTGAAACCAGCACGTAACTAAGTAAGTCATGTAGTCAACTACTTAGGGTTGCGTTTGATTAGAGGTAGAATATAAATACAAGACTAGAATGAGTGCTTAAAAAAGGATCCGAAAGTCGAGTCGTTCCGAGTATTCAAAAGTAACCGAATCGCCGACCATTACTCTACAGCTACTGTAAATATAGAACTTAACAATTATTTTTCATAGGTTTAGCGAAGAGTTTGAAGAACTGAAACATGTGGGAAGGGATCAACCATGCACAGCAGCCGATTTGCCCTGCAATAGACCCAAAAATAGGTTTACCAATATTTTGCCTTACGATCATTCCCGGTTCAAGTTACAGCCAGTTGACGACGAAGAGGGTTCAGATTATGTTAATGCTAACTATGTACCGGTGAGTCGAGTGATCACTTTAAGAATCGCTTTGTAAACATAACTACATACTTATTACCAGGCTCTAACTTTGGATACTTTTAGGGTTACAACTCTCCTAGGGAGTTTTTAGTAACGCAAGGGCCTTTACATTCCACGCGAGACGACTTCTGGAGGATGGTATGGGAGTCGAATTCTCGTGCTATTATTATGTTAACAAGGTATGAAAACGTTACATTATATTTGTACTTAATTCATTAAAAATACTAGAGAGTCTAATAAAGAGAAATTAAAACGTAAATCCATCTTTGATGTGTAGCGCAATGTCTTGGAAATTAGTGATTGCAAAATAACTCTTTTTAGGTGTGTGGAAAAAGGACGAGAAAAGTGTGATCATTACTGGCCATACGATACCATGCCAGTCTATTACGGAGATATATCCGTTCAAATTCTTAATGAAACAAGATATCCTGACTGGAATATTTCCGAATTTATGGTGTGCAGGGTAAGTCGGGCTGTTAAAGAAAGCAGAAAATAAAGAGTGAATTAATATAAAAAAAATTGTATAGGGTGAACAACAACGGGTAGTACGACATTTCCACTTCAGTACTTGGCCTGATTTTGGAGTACCGAATCCACCTCATACTTTAGTAAGGTTTGTGCGAGCCTTCAGAGAAAGAGTACCGCCTGATCAAAGGCCCATTGTAGTGCATTGTAGGTGAGTAAAACATGACAAAATATTCAAATAAGTAAGTAACAAGTTACTGGAAAATCAACAATTAATTTCAGTGCTGGTGTCGGCCGTTCAGGAACCTTCATCTGCTTAGACCGGATTTTGCAACAGATACAAACGTCCGATTACGTAGACATATTCGGTATAGTGTACGTGATGCGTAAAGAAAGAGTTTGGATGGTACAAACTGAACAGCAATACATTTGCATTCATCAGTGTTTGCTAACGGTTTTAGAAGGCAAAGAATTGACGACATCGCCTAGAGAGATTCACGATAATCAAGGATTTGAAGGTAAGCTTTTAATGCTGGCTGATGTGGTTAGTTTGGAAGTTGGCTAGCTTTTTAGGGGTTCAGGATAGTTGTCTATTAACGCTATCAGCTGTAATTAAAATTCTATGAATTTAAACACACAATAATATATGTCTCTACTATCTAAGACAGTGTTTAATTTAGTCATTGAGTAAAACCCAGTAATTTGTTATTTCTCTTGCTCAACTCATTCACTTCCAAGGGATAATAGCGAATGAGCTGAACACTGCACATTTTTTTTGTACATACACTTTTATACCTTGCCGCAGAAATGGTTTGGCGCTTATTTAGTCAGTGTAGAAAGCTGATGTTATGTGGTGCAGGCGTAAGTTCAACCGACGTAATAAAGCCTGTCGTCGATTTACCTGAAGGGAATGGAAATGCGAGGTAGCTTAGGAGCTTCTCGACCGCAACTATGGGTTTCTATCTGTCGACGGAACGCTTTTAACTTGGTTTCTGGGTAATGATACTTTTTGGTGCTTGCTTCACAATGCATAGTTAACTTACTAGTTGGGTACAGGGGGGTTTGGTCGACTTGAAAAGAATGGCCAGAAATGCATTCTACTTTTTAACCAACTAAAAAATCAACCGTGTCCCTTCAAAGTTGTGTAAATTCACTTTGTGTTAATTCGAGCTGTTGGCTTGTGTATGAATAGTTCGTTTTACCGTTTTTAAGTATTACATTGATTTTAGTTTTTACTGTGATCTTTTTCAATGTATAAACTCACATCACTAGAAGTATTTTAATTTAATTAGAAAATTTATAACGACCAAAGTATTGCACATTTGAGGGAGATTTTATCTGCAGTTTTTGTAGGCAAAAAGCTCATTGCAGCTTCTTTTACTTATTAACCAGCGTTTCGTTAAAAATGGACTTACACTACTAATCCTAATAATTCCGGATTTTCAACGCATTTTCAGCGTTTTATTGCATGCTTGAAATGTGCTGTTTTAGTTCAAACTAATTAAATTAACATAAAACCATTTAAAAAGTACAGAATAGTGACACATTCACAAACAGAATGCTTCAATTCAATCACCTAGTTCTTAATGAAGAAACGAAAATGTTTCAGTTCGTGCTTTTTATCAAATGTAATAGTGCTTGCATTCTGTACTAATTTTTGAATGTTTGTTTTAAAGCAATAATTAGTCAGCTTTTTTACCGCATGTTAGTGATAAAATATAAATCAAACAGCTGAAACACACAAATGCAGCACTAAGGACTTCTAAGTATGACCGAGTCAAGCTCAGTGCAAACTGTTAATGATGAAAAAAACTATGAAGATTTGCAATTGCGGTTGTATAAACTACCTAAGTGTACTGATTTGTATTTTATCTTTACTTTATAGATGACGAGGGCATAGCTGAATCCGGAATGTGATCAACACTTTTTTGCAGTAGGTAACTCGTAAAAGTGATCATATACAAAGCCTTGTGTATTTAATATAATCTGACGTTACCTTTGATCATCTATACAATTAAGTTTTCTCAACTTAACCGTAAAACAGTATAATGCTTATAACCTTTAAACATATATTAATGTGTAATCTCGTTTTAGATAGATTTTTGTACTCTTGGAGCGCTAATGTCTCATGTCATTTTGTTCGTGATATAATAAAATGTAAAACTTAGGTGACAAACATTCATCTGCGGTCTGAATATGACCATATTCTGAAGAATGTGATTAAAAATATACTCATTTTCGAGATTATTTGATGAGACACTTAGTGCCCGATATAGTATAGTAAATGTTTAAATGCACGTATTTCTCTTTTGTATTATAATTTGTACAGTATTGTTCACTTCATATGCGTATAGTTTAAACTTAGCTATTCGCCTAATCACTAGTTCGTTTTATGTAATTATTCAAGTTCCGTCTTACTGCAGAATGAAGATTCAATTAAAACAACATATAATTGATATTGTTGACAAAAAATCTGATTTGTCAAAATAACAAATTATTGATTGATTGAAAAACGTACCCAACCCCCAGTGCCAATTTCAAAATAAACTTTACGCGCTTTAAGAACATTAATAATTGTTTTACAAACACTATTTTTAATCTAGAGATTATTTTGAACCCTGTAGAAAAATGTCCATGAATCTGATTCATATTCTAAATATCCCGTCCATCTATTCCAGATTTAAATACGTTTGTTGCCATTCATTTTCATTCCGACGAACAGTTTAATATTTTCCTCGGATAAAGCTCCCAATTAACTAACGCATAAAACCGACTTTTTTATAAAAAACTAATTGACATCAATTATAAATTATAGTGCAATATTTGAGATTCTAGAAAATGAGTTACTGATAGTGAAACAGCAATCTCTTAAAAACTCATTTTTTGTGTTCATTTATGTCAAACATATCTTCCAGATTACTAGTATGTACTGCAAATGCATGCATATAATGTTCCGTGTTTATGTTGGTTATGTTTACTTGAAAATTTACTTACTTTTAATAAGCTATAAGTAAATTTCTGTGATAAAAACTTAAGTAGGTTTGGCTATTTAATAGGCATAAGTTTTAATTTAATGTTAAAGACCTTTATCTAATTTGAGTGTTTTTATTTTATACTAGTAAATGTTCAAATCAGTTTGGTTTTTCCCGATTATGTTTTACACACTTTTAGTATTAAAAAGGCTGATACTGCTGGGTATACCTTAAATATAAGTAGAACGTATTTAGAATCCTAACAACATCTGTTTAATAATTGTACTCAGAATATGTACTTAATTATTTTTCTATGTATTATCACAACTACAAAATATTTTATTACTCCAACCAAGTGTTTTATTATTATTTATTTATATATTAAAAATGATTTACATGTCAAGTAACGGAGTTCACGTAATGAATATGTTGCGTCGTACTTACTCTACAAACTCTTCTTTTTGTTCTTAATTTTTTTCTTCTTTGGAGTATTCGCTTCTAAGCCCACAATATCTGTATTGCTGTCGCCATGAATTCTCTTTTCGCCACTGGAGGTAAAATAAAATATTCGAAATTAGAAAAGTTTACTGTGTTTCTCTCAGAACTAGTTCTTCTAGAGATGATGCACATTCATTTAAGCTGTTTTCATCATCGCTAAAAAAACTCATTGTGAGTAAATGAAAGTATATCTCATAACACAATATATTACCTTTTGACGGAGATGATGCTCTTCTTGTTTTTTCCTGTTAAAGCTTTACTCCATTCCTCCTCTGAGCCTTTGATGACAAATTGTTCCAAATTTTCGTTTTTCAGTTTTTCTAGCTCTTTTTTCTGCTTTTTCTGAAGCTGCTTAGCCGCTTCCTCCAATTCGTCATGCATGCTCTTTGCCAGTGGAGTTAGATTTACGTCTTTCTGTGGTAGCAAGGTCTTCTCCACGTCACTTTCAATAATAGAGTTGAGATATTGCTCAATTCTCCTCATTAATCGGTTGAACAATCCCAGAATTTGCGACGACGGCAAGTTCATTTCGGCTGCTAACTGATCTACAGTTTTATGTTGAGCTCCCAGTCCTAGCAAGATAGCGGATTGAACCGCAGATAATTGCAAATCTACCATTTTATTCAGGAAGTATAATCGCGCTAGAGTAGGTAACAGATCCATGATCAAGTGGTAATCCACTAAATTTTTACTGTACATTTCCAGCCGTTTAATGTCGTAGTTCGATACGTGGATGCCTAATTCCCCTCTGCTCAAATCAAGTGGTTGCAACTTTGTGGTCTTATTTGTGAGCACGCCCAGAGCCAATCCCGACGTAAACTTACTAAACTCATACATCAAGAGGCTTAGGAACCTTTTGCGGAAGTCCGACCAGTATGCGTTGAGCCACTTAAGGTTTCCGGGCTGTTCTTCTGCATTCAGAACATGCAACATTATGCAGGAATGTTCACCGGTTATATCGTTAGTCGTTTGTCGCACATAAACAGGTACGAAACTGGCACGCTTCCAGAATTTGAGCAGTTGCTCTGTTAATCCGAAAGAGACTCCAATATAGTCAAGTCTTTCAGGACGCCTTTCACTTAGTTTAAGCAAAAGCGGCGGTAGAGCTTTTCTTGGTTCTATGGTTTCTTCCAACAAACCTGAAAATAATATTTATTGCTTTATTTTTTATAGGATCATTATAGAGACACTATATAGCTATTACAGGAGGCCAAACGAGGGAGATAAGGATTGAGATGTCGAGGTCGAGATATAAGGTGGAACTTAAAATGATAGTTTCACACACGTTTATATGGAATTGAATCATTCACCCCGAAGAAAATTCACACAGAATGTGGCGAATTGCTTGGATAGACAAGAACACCATAAAAAACAAAAAACTCCAGTGCCTTGGACATGTGATGAGAGGTCACAAATACAACATGCTACAGAAAATTATGGCGGGCAAATTCAGCGGAAAAAGACGTGGTGGAGGGAGACGAATATCAGGGCTCAAAAACCTGAGATATTGGTTTGGCTGCAACAACAGTCTATTCCGCGCGGCAGTCAAGGAAATTAAAATAGCTCTGATGATAGCAACCCTCCGATGGATGCACAAGAAAGAGACACTCACCTACGGTTTCCTCATCAACTGTCGCGATTTCTTCTTGATCTACTTTGTACTCTTCCAAATTGGGAATCTTCAATTCATAGTACTGCTTCAGCAAGTCCAGAGCTCTGGATCCATATCCCATTCCCTGATAGTCTGGATGTGTGGCTATGCGAATTATTCTAGCTCCGGACAACTTTGGAAAATCGGAGTCTTGGAATTGTTGGCCGACAGTCCAGGGAATTAAGTCGCCGGCTGCTCGCTTTGCCCTGGAAAATCCTTCCTGGACAGTGGATTTGGGAATTTCACCTTCAAGGGATACCTAACGAAGAGTAACAATTTCATTGCACACAATTTAAGCATACTGCAAGGAATGTGAAACTTAGAATAAGTTTTAAAACAGTAAAATTGAGCTTGTATCGATCTCACCTGTATAAAAACTAGAACCTCAGGTAATGACTTGCTATTAGGATCCACAGGGCCAAGAAGACAAAACAGATGATGGGCTGGAGCATCAGACATGATTTGTAAATCGTTGGGACTGTTTTTGTAATGTGAGGACACATACAGGGATACTAGTCGTTGTAAAAACAATTCGGACGCATTGTGATAGCAGAACAATGTGTCTCGATTGATATAGTACAAGTCGCAATTATCCGGAGCAGGACAGCCGGACTGTATCGGTGCTACAGAAGTGGAATCAAGGCAAAGCAATTTAGTCAGCCACGTTTCTACTTCATCGCCGGGCTTGTAACGAATTGATTCATTCAGAGTGACTTCCTGTAAAGTGCGACCGGTGGTTGCGGCTGAATCTTTTGTATTTGTAGCGTTTGTGTTGGCACCTAAAATAATTATTTTTTCTATAAATATAAAATAGGCAACTTAATGAATAGACCTACCAACAGGCACTGTTTGCACTCTAAGTTGCTGGAAAAGCTTCAAAGACAATGATCGCCCAGTGCCCTCGTAACCATTAATGGTAGAAGCTAAGAAAACTAAATATGGACCAAGCATAGCTTTGACCAAAGGCATTGGAATAGCTGCTGCTTCGTCTATAACCAGCAGTTGGGCATGTGAAAGCTTGCTGGCATCTGTTGGGTGAATGTACTGCAAAAACACACAGGCACTTAAAATTATAACTTAGTAGACTGAATGAAACTTACCTGAATAGCCTGCATATGATCCCTAGAAATATTGACTCTCACAATAGCTTTGTTGAATTCCGGATTGGTGCTTTGCACCAGGCCATAATCAATATGTTCTTGATATTCCAAAGCATCGAATCCCTGCATAAATTCCATTAGAGGTTAGTATGATTTCCAATGTTTCCAGTTCGTAATTCACTTACCTTAAATACGAATTCGAAAAATGTATTTAAATTTTCCGGACTCGGGCTTGTTACAAATATATTCGAATAGCCAAAGGCCACGGCGCCAGCCACAGCTAAACCTAAAGCGGCAGATTTGCCCCGTCCTCTCGATGCCGTTAGCGAAACTGTAGATCTACAAACAACAATACAATGATGCTAAGAATAAAGGATTTTTCCTGTTAACGCACCTCAACGTTTTCTCTGAAATCGCCTCAATGAATTTCAACACAGCCTTGCTCTGGTCCAACGTTTTACAACAGTTTATCAGATTGCCCACTGGGGGTGTATCTCTAAGCTTTTCTTTTACGTCATTCAGTTCAATTTGGTTCTCCGTTAATTCCCTAGAGACTTCGACTGGCGTAACATGTAGCGTGTGGGAGGAAAGTGGTAAAACTCTCAACTGATCATCAACAACCAAACATCTAAATAGACAAAATATGCCTTAGATATCTTTTACGGGAAAATTAATGTCGCTCTCACCTTTTACAAGTAGCTAACGATAGCAGAAACCTTTCATTAAATCTAGGCACTAGATCTTGGTGAGCTTCGGTCCGGAATCGTTGATGAACATCCATATTTAAGGTGTAAAGTTGCTTCAAAGACTCAACAGTCCTGCAGCAAAATTGTCTAATTAAGTAACTAGCTATAGATAATACTGGCAGTAACATACCTTAGGAGTAGAACGACTAAGCCACCTCCCTCAACTGTTTCAATAGTTCTGGCTAATAAATTCGGCGTCAACGCTTCAAAATCTTGTAAAACACACATTCCATATGTATTTCCCAATATTTTGTGAGTTTCTGAATAATAGCAATACCGAATTTTGGTGGATGATAGGAAAAGGTCAAACGGATCATCCTAGAACAAGGGATTTTTTGAAAACGTACATGTGAGTTGTGAACAATCAAATATGTGCTCACCTCGTCGATGCTCAATTTCCCAGACTTAATTTTATGCTGTAAATGTTTCATTCGCTTCTTTTGATTGCTGCTAAATCCAAGTTCCTTTTTATAACACCACAACACTGAAGGCCTAGCCTTAACTTCAGCTTTAGTTAACATGTGATGTAAAATTACCACCTAAAGAAGACGATTAACGTAATAATAATAAACAATCAATGAATTGAAGAGGCAATGCAATGAAGGAACACAAATTAAAATAATGGGAAATAACACAATTATAACATGCTTACATACCTGATCTTTACTTTTGTCTCCAACTACCACAAATAGGGTTCTGTGGCCTAATTTAACGCCATTTTCAATTAGAACACGGATTCGATTATCGATTTTCTTTCGCCCCATTTCAATACACCAACTAATAAGTCTTAAATAAGGAAAAATAAACAATAAACTACCACATGAACAGCATTAATGCGGCCTGTGCGAGCAACGCATGTGTAATTTGAGGTTAGGTACATAAGAATTACAATGTTGCCAGTCACGAGATAATTTTAATGCATATAACACAGCGTTGCTTCAATGATTTATATGGGCGTACCCCATGACATAATACTTTGTTCTATGGACAAAACAAAACACAATTTCAAATGCTTATAAATACATATTACATATTATGAAGGCTTTCACGGCCGGTCAGATTACATTTAGAAATGTTTTCCGGGCTTTGAAGCCGTGGTCTATCGGAATTTCTTCCTGACGT